GAGGTCTGATAAAACCTAATATTGATTGTTAGTGTCAACACTGATCTTTTGACCAATCGCAGAAAAGGGAACAATTTAGTGCTGCCTATATTATCAATCAGAAGATAACGTTGGACGACAGCGATGTTGCAACTTCTGATGTTGTCTTGGAGAACAGTTGACATTCAGGTATTAAATTATATAATATTATAACCTTTGATTTAGCTGAGATTGATCTCCGCCAAAGTCTATAATATTATTGAATCATGTCATTCCTTATCTTTAGTATTTACTAATTTCAGATCTCCTTCCCATATTTCTTTACATCTATCACACAAGTTACAAGAAATCCATTTTAACCTGAGAAGAAATGGGTCTTTGGTCTATATGGTCCTTTAGATAAAATCCCTACTCTTTAGACTTACCAAAAAGAAAAAAATATATTTTACCTGAAAAAAAATCAATGTGCATTAGACTAGAAAACCAAACAAAGCTGGCTTGGTGTCAAGTACTTTTTCAGATAAAGATTCAATACTTTTAGACAGCACAGATCTGCTGCACAAAGATATGTAACTTTATATGGTTGAAAAGAATCTGTCATGTCAGTTGATCAGTTCCACAAAGCAGTATTTCTTTTTGGATAGAGCTGCACCATAAAGGAGGCTTTTGTGAGTGCTCTGGTATGAAGTTAAAGGGATAACAACTTTTTGTAAGTTATCCATATTTTACAATAAATGCATTGTAAGCAGTTCATAGAAATATAATAAATTCCATTTTACCACCAAAAACGTTGGTTAACACAATTACTCTAGAATTTGTGCTTGCCATCACATCACATGACCTCCACAGATGGCTACACTCTGTAATAATCTCTTAAGAGAATATTTTACAGAAAACTCCCCCCCCCCAAAAAAAAACAAACTAACTTTGAGTGTAGGAATGGATTCATTAACCATTGGTTGGTAAGTATGGGAAAATTGTCCTTTACCCCAGAAAAATCCATTTTTTGGCCAAAATGAACAGTTGTTATCCCTTTAAGCTTCAACTACAATATTTTGATCCTCTCTCTCCCTCACAAACACCTGAAAGGGGTGTCATGTTAAAGACCCTAATAATTGAACCACAAAGTAACACTATCTACATGACAGGAAATGTCAAATTCATATACTTTTTACACATTAGACTGAAGTAAAAAAAAAAATGCTTGTCTTAAACTGATATGTTTATAATGACAAAAGCACATCAGTATCAAAAGAGCATCTGCTTTTTAGTTATATAATGCAATATACTTTGCACATACCTAGAGATGTGACGTGACTGCAGTGATATGTATGCTTTATTCGTTTTAAGCGCAAATATACCAATCAAAATTAACCCATTTAGTTTTTTCTCTTAATTAATAGGCTATTAAATTGTCAATTTCTCGACTCTCTTAATTAATAGACAAGTTATTAAACTGTTAATTTCTCGACTCTCTTAATTAATAGCCAGGCTATTAAATTGTTAATTTCTCGACTCTCATGGTTAATAGCCAGGTTATTAATTTTTTTTTCTCAAATTGTAAAGGTAAAGCAAACTGTACTGCACCATGTGACAAAGGCTGAAGCTGGTTTCAGTGCACAATAACGTGACACACGGCGTGGAATGGGTACANAAAAAAAAAAAAAAAAAAAAAAAAAAAAAAAAAAAAAAAAAAACTAACTTTGAGTGTAGGAATGGATTCATTAACCATTGGTTGGTAAGTATGGGGAAATTGTCCTTTACCCCAGGAAAATCCATTTTTTGGCCAAAATGAACAGTTGTTATCCCTTTAAGCTTCAACTACAATATTTTGATCCTCTCTCTCCCTCACAAACACCTGAAAGGGGTGTCATGTTAAAGACCCTAATAAATGAACCACAAAGTAACACTATCTACATGACAGGAAATGTCAAATCCATATACTTTTTACACATTAGACTGAAGTAAAAAAAAATGCTTGTCTTAAACTGATATGTTTATAATGACAAAAGCACATCAGTATCAAAAGAGCATCTGCTTTTTAGTTATATAATGCAATATACTTTGCACATACCTAGAGATGTGACGTGACTGCAGTGATATGTATGCTTTATTCGTTTTAAGCGCAAATATACCAATCAAAATTAACCCATTTAGTTTTTTCTCTTAATTAATAGGCTATTAAATTGTCAATTTCTCGACTCTCTTAATTAATAGACAAGCTATTAAACTGTTAATTTCTCGACTCTCATGGTTAATAGCCAGGTTATTAATTTTTTTTTTCCTCAAATTGTAAAGGTAAAGCAAACTGTACTGCACCATGTGACAAAGGCTGAAGCTGGTTTCAGTGCACAATAACATGACACACGGCGTGGAATGGGTACAGCTGTGACGTGTGAATAGTACCTCTCCCATTTTCTTGAAATTTTACCAATCAGCATTATTGAGAATGACACGTGACACATCCTTTAGTCAAGATTTTTTTCAATAATCTCAAGGGGTTGTAAATAATCCAAGGTAGAAATTTGCCGCAAATTATGGCAGTGTGATTAAGGTCAAGCCACTGTCTGGAAATTACATCATCAGCGATAATAGCAACGACCCGAGTTATCCTGAGGTCACATGTAAAATCGAACGCAGTTTCATGGAATTTCAAGGAGAGTGGGAGAAGAAGTAAAAGAAAGTGGCATATAAGGAATATAATAGCTGACACGATTACAGGGTTTTCGCAGTACTTCCTCTTAAATTCTATCGAATTACATGTTTTGCGCTAGACTTTAATAGAGCCTCCCACAGACAAGTTAACCCTAGCTCACGTGTATTTACACACGCTTTCTTGTCTCAAATGACGTCACAGAGTCTTGACATCACATGGTATCAACAGCCTTATTACAATAATTTTCATTCCGTTTGGTGATGCCAGGCATTATTATTATATAACATTTCTGGGCTCAATAAGTTCTTCTTCTTTTTATTATTATTATTATTATCATAAACTGATTAAGCTTTTGCCTCATGCAGATTTATGAACACGAATGTCCAAATTAATGCCATGAATTAAGAACACCACTCAACATAGTGGCCACGGGCACAGTGATAGGACCCACAAACTGTAAATCTTGTAGGATCCAGTACAGTGCTAGTGGCTACTAATTTTATGTAAGAGTACTTAATTTATGGCTCCAGTCTTTTGTGCTCTCAAATCTAAGGCTCAGGTCAGCAAGCAGCAATTATCATTTATGAGGCCTACATGACCATAAAAATAACTACCACCATTTTAATAATGAAATAATAAATTATAATTGTAAAAAACTGAGCAAATCTTAACCAAACTATAACAAATGTTTTAAATGTAAAATTGTCCTGGCTGCAGCGTCAACAAACATGGTTCACTGTCTTTGAATAATTACCTAAGCTATATAATGGATCCTGCTTCCTGTTTCCATAGATTAAGTGACACATGACGCAGGCATGCTTAATACGATTATTATGCAGATCTTAACCTTAAACAGATAGAGGAGATGTACTGTTTTAATCACCGCTAATGTTCTACTATATCATATATGTCTAGGACAAAAAACCCTTCTTCCCTATTTCTTAAAATCTTCTTCCCCCTCTCCACCTCTGAGNTCTCTCTCTCTCTCTCTCTCTCTCTCTTTCTCTCTCTCCCCCCCCCCTTCCTTGATAATCACTCCCCACATGTGCTACTGGTTTAGCGCATAAATTTTGACCTAGTTAACCACCATGTTCATAACGACATAATATCTGATCTTCACCCACCAGACGATCTCCTATCATGCTTTCCCTTATCTCTTCATACAGTCATGCTTCTTGATAGCCCTTATCTCCAGGAATAATTAATTAACTCCCTATTCCATCAGACATCAAGGGGAATTGCCTCATGCTCATCAACACCTTAAAATGATGCAAAAGTTTAGGATATTAATTTGAAAAACTTCTGAAAACAGTATAATATCATGCTTCTAGTATAATTATTATTGCAATTTTTCAAATTTAATCAGTTTTAGGGTATCACAAAAAGCGTACTTGTAGGTTTGAGATTTTAAGATCAAAATCTTTCAATATTAAAAACATAAGAACTGTAAGTGAACGCTAAATGAGACAAATTTTCACAGGGGTTGGCAGAAAACAATCATCATTATGGAGCACTTTCTCTACTGCCAAGTTTACATATAACAGCCATGGACTGAACAATATAACTTAACTTTTAAGCTAAGCTTAGTCCAGACACCTAGTACTAAATCTTTCTGATATAAACTTTCAATATTGGCAGTGATGACCAAAGCCTACCTACAGGTAGGTACGTCAACTGCATCTATCTATAGGACAAATATGTCCCACGCAGTTCATGAACCATACGTCATAGGATATTACAATGTCAACTTAACGAAGTAGGTCCCCCAATGGCAAGTTAAGTATGTAGTCTTGGTTAAAGCTAAATTCTGAAGTTGTTTAATTTGTGACACAGGCTATAATAATGTCAGAGATTTAGAAAAGTAAAACGTAGGATTTACTTCATATTATTTGACACCTGATAACCACTGATGATTCGGAGAAGGAAGGTCTCAAGCTTGCAGTAACTACAGGTAGCATGCAGGTATGTCATGTCTGAAGACCCTTGCTTCACAACTTGTTTGTCACATTCGCCTCATTTGTCCAGGCCTGTAGCCAAGTCATTTCAAAGGAAGAAGGGGGAGGGGGGGGGGAGTGTCTTTTTCTGAAAAAGTGGACCTTTTTCCATGAAATGTGTGTGTGCCTAAATCATATTTTACCCAGAGTCCACCATTTCTGGCAAAAAGGGCGATTTGATCTAACTACCATGACAAAGTAAATATAATCACCCATTTGATTAACAAGTAGGAAAAACATAGAACATATTCATATTTATTGTTCAAATTTATTCAGCCTTGAATCTTTCAACGATTAAAAAATATGTGTACTCAAAATATTCTTCCATTATCTTTATAAATTCATCATTTATTCCTTCCCTTTATTTTCAGTTTACCAAATATCTAAACAAACTCAAATGACACAATTATTGGTGACAGTTATGATCAAGAACAGAAACCATCTTTGAGGTAAGAGGAAAAATGTAAAATTATTTTCATTATGTTGCATCTCAACGGGAGTAAGTAACATAAGTTTTTCTCCTAAAGCTTTTTTTCCCCTTGATTATTGATCAAGGCAAATCCATTATGAATATAAATGGATAAAATGGATAAATAGTCACTTGATAAGGCTTGTTTAAAACTTCTGATGTCTCTTTGGAGGAAAAAAAACATGAACAAACAACCCTGTATAAGCCACAAGTATTTGTGCTCTGCTACCTCAGCAACGGAAACAGGAAAAAAAGTTAGAGGAAATTCTCATTCACTTTAACACACTTTACCCCTTCTCGGGGGTGTAGCTTGTATTCCAAAAATCTCTCGCCATCCATAAAAATGTCCTCTTATTTCTTGGTGAGACATTGGCTCCAGTTTCATAAAAAATATGCTTGAAATTAAGTTCTTGACTTTTAATGTAAATTTTTAAAACTATTTTGACCTAGGCTGAATGAGATATAGTCCAATAACATTAAAAACTGATTTGTTTTCTAAAAAGAAATAAAGCTTATGCTTTAAATCAGTAATTACTTTATCTTGAATCATTACAATGGACTTATCCTAAAAAAATTTTCTTTAAAAAAATTTAAAACACATGAAAAAATACAAAAAAAAAAAAAAAAAAAGGAAAAAAGTGTTTTATATCTGCAAAAATTACCTAATGGAACAGATATTTGTAAGATGACATCTGAGAAGAACTTGAAAAGAGTAGTTTTTCCCTTGGCATGTTGAGAATATATGAGTTGTATGTCATTCATATTTTTCACCATTATGCCATTTTTATAAGCTTTCTTGTCTCCAAAATCTGAGTAAATTAGCAGACAAGATACTTACCCATTTCTTAAGTCTCTAAAAGAGATTTTTAAAAAATCAATGGGATTTGTAATACCAAACAACTGTGGTCAAAATGAGCTTTAGCAAAGTTACATTTTCTGTCACAGGGTCAATGGGTAGCACTCTTTTGCATTTGCTTCCTTTGACTCAATAATTTTCTCCATGTTTGTCCTCTCCACCCCCCCTCAAAAAAAAAAAAAAAAAAAAAAAAAAAAAACTGCCAGTGTTGAACTTATGTCTCTGACCTCAGACCTAACAACACTTAAATGGATTTATCAACCACTTCATCTCATCAGTTATCCAGTAGGTAGTACAAATCACATTATAAAATCTTGATCGTCTTGATTAGAGAAGGTCAGACAGTAGTGACATCAAAGTTCACCTTCAAAGGTAATAAATACATATTTATGCACTAGAGGGCGATATCTGGTCTGTATACATTAATATCTTATTAGAAAGTGCCGTTGATCTCCTACAGATAAAATTATCCTGATCTCTCAAAACTGGTTTCTGTTAGACAAAAGATACAGCTGCAGTGATGATTTGTCCACAGACATGTTCAGAGTTGTGTTGATGCAAACGGATTATTTTCTGCTTTATTTTTCTAGTAAGGCACATTAATTGTCCACTTTCCTGTTGGGCCATACTAAAACGTATTTGTAGAATGGACATATCTGTCTCAGGCAAGACAGTTCTGCTGACGAACACACAAAATATTTTGGAAATACTCTCAACAGACTCTTACAGCAGCAAGGATTTTTAAAACATGATATAATGGTGAAAGAAATAGTCCTCAGACTAACAACACTTTGACAGCCTAAAAGAAGGGAAAAAATTCAGTGACAAGTGTCTGGACATTGTGACTGTGGAAGTACCTGTATATCTTGTTTTAGCAGATCAGTTACCTCATCAGCATCATTCAGGTAAATATCACTGTATAAATGTATTATGTGCAGACTAAATCAAAGGAAATAGATACGGTTCAGAACAAAAGGCTTGAAATATGGGCCAAAAATAAAAACAAGCACATACATTTGTAAATATTTGCTTGTCGAAAAATTGCAGGGATTGAATTTCAGATAGGTTTAGAGCCAGTACAGACATAACTGTCTAAGCTGAACATACTGAACAAAGGAAACTGAATTTATAATATTAGAAAGTGTATTACAATCTAAGTGTCCATTCATCAACTTCCAATGTAAGAGGTTATGCTTTTCTTGGTGTTGGTTTCTGGAGGAAAAATTTCAAAACACTTAGGAGGGAATAAATTAAAAACAATTTTAAATATTATTTTAGTTACTATCACTTTATGCCTTGGTGGATATCTGCACTGTAAATGTTACAATCACACTATGATAGCCATCATTTTCTATTTGTAATTTTTCTTAAAAACAAATTCAAGATTTTGAAGATAGTCTATTTTAACTGTGCAACTAACAGATATGATACCATCATTCTTTTTGTGAGATTTTATTTTTTTTGGAAAACCACATTGTCCCACAATATCAGATTTAACCATAGCAACTAAAATTATGATATTTGACTTCAAAATAGGGAAGTCTTTCAATCTTATTTATATTATATCTATCAACCCCCCCCCCCCCCACACACACACTCACATTCTGACTTAATTTAAAAGTTTATTTTAAGCTCGTATCCATTCACAACAAAAACCATCTAAGTTGGTGGTAAGAAACACAGAGATACAGTCAATTGATCTAACCACATAATGGAAAGGTCATGTTTAAGAAAAGGAAATAGATGATGTCAGTTTTGTTCTTAAAGATGAGGAAATATACAGCTTGTTCTTATGACAGTCATAGCACATTTAATTACTTCCTTCGAGATGAGTAAGAAGCTTGGCACATTTATTCATAAAGATATGGTTCAACTAAATACTCAAACCCTTTTAGCTTAATTAAATAAACTGCATTTCCTATGAAGTTGGGCCCACTTATCTTGGAATGACCCATCTTACTTACTAGGCTGTCAGTATGATATTGGTTACCAGATGTCCTTAAATCCTGTTGGTAAAATCTACATAGTGTGGCTGCTATTCCAGATAACTTGGGTCCACCTTTCCCACTAGACCGTCTGTTAGTACAATCTACATAGTGTGGCCGCTATTCCAGATAAGTTGTGTCCACCTATCTTAGTACAACTCATCTTACTAGACCGTCTGATGATGATAACCTCACCCCCCCCCCCCCCAGCACCAAACCTAATTCTAACCTCTACAATTCTGTTCTACAGTAACACTGTACTACAAATCTCTACTACAGATCCACTGATTACTATCTGCTATTTGAATGGCTTTTTGTGACGAGTAGATATTTTTCACAGAGAGGGTTATATTTTAGGGATACCACTTTACTTTATTTGACTCCCCTTCATAAGCTCTCCACAATTTTGCTTCTGGATTTTTATCTTTATTAATAACTAATTTAGTTAACAACGGGCCATGCCCTGCACCTTGCAACTGTCTTGATCTGTTAAGGTAAATCTCTTAATAGACAGATGATTAAGTTGTCATTCTCTCAAAACACACCAATACACTTTTAGCCATACATCCAAACAAGACCACCAACACGCATTTTATTTTGATAATTTAGATACTGGATAGACTAAATCACACAGAATAAGGCAACATACGGAATTAGACAACAGCTCTGTTGATATAATGTAGTTGCTACTTTTACCTGTAATACATAAGGCAGGGTTTATTTTTCTTCCATTTTGGCCTTGGGGCCCATTTTAAGTTTCAGTGTAAAAGGTTTGACTAACAATGACTTTAATGTGTAAAATAAGTCATGCCATGAATGCTATCTTCTCATAATAAACCCACCCAAAGACCTCGATAACCTTATTAGATGAGGCAACAGTGTTTATGGTAATTACTCCCAAAATGTGACTACATTATCTGTTCCCAAAAAGAATGTTTTACTAAAAATATATGGAATAGTGCACAGATTCCTCAGAATCTCTGAAAAGTAATCTACTTACAGACAAATAGTATGTTTGTATATTTTTCATAAAAATCAGCCTTAAAAATAAAAAAAGGTGCTTGAAATTTAATAACAATTTTTGTATAGAAAAAATAATTAAATCCACCCCTTCTTGAGTCTGATGACAGCACTAAAAAGAAAACGGTGACACTTCCTTATTTTATTACCAATTAATTCATTCACATAATGGCACGTCTGACTCACAGTCTTGGTAAGAACCTGATGGAGAAGAAAATATCTCTGCATCTTTGAAGAACAGTTCAAGGTAAAATGAAATTTTACTTCCTTAAAGGAAAATAATTTAAAAACAATCTGATGCATATTTAAAAAGTGATATACACTGCATTTATACATGAGCTTTACCTTTCTGGTAAGCCTTTACTTTCCAGTTGTAAAACATTTTTAGTGCTCAAATAGTTGACATCTACCTATTCTAAGGACATTTCATAATCTTTCTCCACAAACCCACTTTTTCTCTAATATTCATAGCATGGCTATGAAAAATATTTTTTTATAAAATAAATATCAATGTTGAAAGTTCATTGACAAGAGGAAATTTTATTTAAAAAAAACTTGAAAGGAAATTCCATTTTTTCAGTCAAAAAGTGGCAATTTTTGATGCCATTTATGAGAGAAAATTCACCCTTTGATGGTGCAAAAGAAATAAACATTTTGTTCCCAATTGATAACATCCGACATCCTTTTATTAGTTGGTTACAAGTTTTAAATCCTCTTCCATCATCAGTAACATAATCTCATAACAGTATCATACAACTCTTTATAGAAATATGGTATTGAAAATTGTACAACTTAAAATACAACTGACTTCTCCCAGGATCTTTCCACTTTTTTATTATCATGGCATTACCTTTGGGCAAACGCCTTCCATTGCTTAAGTACTGAGAATTAAAAATTCTTCATTCAGGTAGAAGAAAGGCAAAGTCTATTCAACTGAATAAGGACTAATTTTGCTCAATATGGACAATGTAAATTAATTGTTAATCACTTAATTTATTTCATGACTTGCTTTCCGTCTTATTATCAACAGTTCTTATACATAAATATTCACCTTGTAGGCATAGCAACAGCAGATAGGAGGTAAGGAGTGCTGGGCTAGAAATAGGAATTAAAGATGCTGTCATTGGTAACCCCAGTACACAAAATGTTAAAAGAAAAAAAAAATACCGCGACAGTATCATATGTCAGAAAATATTTGGCTCAAATATGGCCATTAAAATCATGAAATTGTCTTTTCTGAATTTCTTAGGTATACCATATTTATAAATACATATAAATATCTATGGCTTGGTACAAAAAATCTCCATAATTTATTACACATGCCACACAAACACCTGTACATTACCCAGCCAACAAACATGCTCATTATGCTTTTAACAATGCAAAGACCCAATTGGGATCTGGCCTAGTCCAGTAAGTGTGTGTGTGTGTGTGTGTG